AGAGAGAGAGAGAGAGAGAGAGAGAGAGAGAGAGAGAGAGAGAGAGAGAGAGAGAGGTTGTACTGCTGAAAAACCACTATTTTGCTTGCAAATCCAAAGGCTTGAGCCAATACTGTTTTGGGATCTGCAAAACTGTAGCACATGGGAGCATATAACCACACTGCATTTGAAGATTGCATGAAATGGGAATGAGGAGGAAATTCCAGGTAGGACGTGAAAAAGATCCTTGGAAACAACCATTTCCCTCTTAATTTATAACCAGAATAACAGAGAGTTGGAAGGGACCTTTGGAAGTCTTCTAGTTGAGAGGTCTCCAACCTTGGCAACTTTAAGACCTGTGGATCAGAATTCTGCTGGCTGAGGAATTCTGGGAGTTGAAGTTCACAAGTGTTAAAAGTTGCCAAGGTTGGAGACCCCTCTTCTAGTCCAACCCTAATCACAATTCCTCTTTTCTTTCACAGTACCGTGTTTGTGACAATGATGGACATGAGAATTCACTTCCACCAGGGAGCATATTATAGAGGTGCCACCTTCCATTGGAGGGTTTAAAAAGATCTGCAGCAGATCCAAGCATAAATGCAACCATTATTAACGTTCTCACTCTGAAAGGTGATGAGATGCGGGTTGAGTTTAGTGGTTACCCGAAGCCTTTTGCAGAGTCAACCGTGGACTTCACTTCAAGCCACTTCCTGCATCCTTTTTACACACTTGGATGTCTCGGTGACCTCAGCAAAAGCCCAGAATTTGAACGGGTGGGTTTAGAAGAAGGGGAGGGATGGGCTTTCTTCCAAAAACCCCCATTATTTTTTTTCAAGACATATGATGATCTACAGCAGGCTTTCGTAAACTCTGTGTTCTCATTAACTTTGGAATGGGAGAAATCATCTTGCCCTAGATTTTAATTAATTCAGCCTATTATTTCTCTGCCATGTGAGCCAAGGAAGTGGGGCAATAATCTGGAGGCGATCCCTGGCATGAGGGTCTCAAGAGCCTTCTTGGGTAGCATTATCGATTTATATCTTAAACCCTCCCAGGGAGGGAAGAAAAGAAACAAGAAAGATGGTAGCAACAGCTTTTTGAAGTATTTTCTCCCACAAACCCCAGGTCATTAACCCTCAGCAAGACTGAGATGCAGAGTTAAAGGAACGTTATAAAGTGTACCTTTAGCTCAGTGTGAGAAAAGCTAACTTGAAGAATCCCCAAAGAAAAACTGATTTCCTCATTTGTAAGGAATGTAAATGAAAACTCAATGGGAGTTTGGTTTTGTGTGGCTTGTTCCTGGGATCACCACAGCAGCACTTCAGAATAAGCTGCTGTTTCCAAGGGGAAACTCACCCTCCAAAAATATAAACCCTCTGAAAAAGATCTCGGGGTTTAACCATGTGTGCTGCAAAGCTAGGATATTGAATCTTCTCAGAGCTTGCAATACCGTGGACGAGAGGTTTCACCTGACTGCTACTTGCCCTCTGCAGTTGAGATGAATGCAGAAAAGTTGGCATCCTGTGGCCCTTTCCCTTTGGAGAATTGCCCTTAACCTTCAGATTATTATTCCCTTGTGCCCACGTTTTCTTTTTTTAACGGGCCTTCTCTAGTGAGAGGAAACCAGGGGTATTGTCATCCTTACCTGAATCTTCTTGTAGAATGGTTCTCTCCTTTGACAAAGATGATCTGAAGGACCCGGTGGAGAATAAAGGCCGAAGGAAGGAGGTTTAGAAAGAGGACTTCCAAATATTGTAGGTGTGAAGAGCCAGCAAAGCCGTCTGGATGCTTTAATGTCTCAACGCTATTAAACCTCACCTCTATCTTTTTTCGATCTTCGCCCACCCACTTCCTTTCCCTCGTTCACACATCTGTTGGGGTCTGGTTCTCTTCTTCACGTTTCGCTTCTGAATTAGTTATTAGTTTTTGTGGCTGCACATTTTCATTCCTATCTCTCTTTTAATCTGGAACTATCTTTGCACGAATTGCCTCTTGAGGCCCTGGCCAACTTGTGAAGTCAGGAGCAACTTGGTTAATTGTTTCTTTATTCTTGTAGATTTTCACTGTAGATGTATGCTGGTCTTGTTGTATTCGGGTCTTTTCCCATGTAAGATTGAGATTGTCTTGGCAACGTTTCGGTGAGGTCTCACTCGCCATCTTCAGGCTGGGTTTTGGGCTTAAAGCGTGGTCATAGCTGGCGTCTTTTGCTATCTCTGACCACGCTTTAAGCCCAAAACCCAGCCTGAAGATGGCGAGTGAGACCTCACCGAAACATTGCCAAGACAATCTCAATCTTACATGGGAAAGGACCCGAATACAACAAGACCAGCATACCTACACCTGTGAAAAACTATGAAAAACACACACACACACACACAC